TCAGCAGGTAGGCAGTGAAAGTTAGGAGCCATCTGATTTGATATATGATAATACTCAACAGCACGTAGAAATTTGGAACTTAGTCTGACACCTTGTACCTCTTCACTGGAGTGAGATTGTTTTAATAATTTCTCCCCATGCCCCAAATCCCCAAGCAAAGTCTGGAATAAGCTGCTGTGTGTTCCCTTTTCATCCTTTTTTGTCTGGACAGACTAGCTGCTTGCTTCCCTGTTGGTTTAGAAACACTTGTATGATTTTGTTCCTTTGCAGTGGTTGGCAGGAAATGTAACTGCTGCCTGACTTTACTTGCTGTAAACAACATCCAGATTTTGAATGGCATCATCCCTCATATTCTATACCAGGTCCTTGCAACAACTCTGGATGTGCCTGATCCCCAGGAGGGGCTTGCCTGCCGCGCTCCTTGCGGTCACACCTTTGCCAAGGCCTCTGTGCACATTCCCGCACAGCAGAGCAGTCCGTTGCATGGTGCGGCTAGCGGGACACTTGCAGCACTTCCCATGAGATGCAACAGTGACATGGCTAGCAGGAGGGCAGGTTTGGCAGCTCCATAAAATACTGCTACCTATCGTAACCTGTGTGGTCTCGCTCAGATTCCTCTGCAGGCTGCCCTTAAAGGGCTCTGGGTTAAGGTCGTGACCTAAATGGATTCACAAAGGTTTACAAATCAAATCTGTTGTCCTCCTGGGAAAAAGGCTATCCCTGATCTACAGCTAAAGGAATGGTACCAAAGGAAGAAGTAACTTCCCAAACCGCACAGAGATTCAGTGACGGAATGGGAAGCCAGAACTCCTGATTCTCAGCCCCATGCATCTCTGCTCTGCAAAACTTATTAGTTTAGTGTTGTAGAGAGGCCGATGTTTGTGACGCCTAGTCTTCAGATGGCCCCTTCCAGAGAGGAAACCTGCGTTCTGAATCTGGCAGGCACAAGAGACTGAGTGTCAGCTGCCAGCTGTAAGGAAACCCAATGGTTCGAACTATTTTTGATAAGAGGAAGAGTGATAAATCCCATAAATGAACCTGACTTGATTGCAGAGAGATGGAAGCAGGGCAAGGAAAAGAGATGGATCAGCCTAAAGAGAAAAGGTACCCACCGATGAAGGAGGAGTCCACGTGGTGAATCAGATCTCATTTATCAGCAGCCACTTCACAGAAGGGCTTCCATGATTTCACTTTCTTTGCTTCTGCTTCTTACTCCAGCAGCCACAGGGCTGGAATATTTCTGAATGACCAAACCCACCATACCTGCTCAGCTAACTCCAGGAGTTATCACTGCACTCACGGAGAACCACCCCTTTTTCCCACCAGCCACTAGCTGGCACCACTGACCCTGGCAGGCTCTCCTCTCAGAATGGGGATCTCTGCAGCATGGCGTTGCTTTTCTGCAAACACAGAACTGGATGTACGGTTCAGCTCCAGTGAAACAGCGTAGGGAGCACTGACTAGCTGTATTGCTTGAACAACTCGCTTTCTGTCACCATCTCTCCATGTAAGAAAATAAAAGAATGATACCTGCATCCCTGATAACAGCACAGGGAGACAGATGAAGAGGTAATGTACTGCAGTACTCCAAAGCACTTCCTGTGCTTGATCAAGGATTACGATATTTGTGTCGTGTTTTGCACAGCATTGTCTCAACAGAGGGAAACATCACGCAGTCTGTGTGCCATACTGCTCCTACCCACCTGTGATAACCAACCAAACCACAAAGAACAAGCCAGGAGGTTTAACTGCAGCTCCCCTGTGCTCCCTTGGCTCAGTCACTCTCCACGACTCAACATAAATCTGTACATCTTCTACAGTGACCAACTATCTTTCCAAGAACAGATCTAAAATGTCTCAAGATCATCTGATTTTCTGATTCCATTACACAGAGTATCCAAAGACCAAAACAGGTATCTTGATGACATCGTTAGATGGCTAAAGGGTAAGACAGGAAGCGTCTTGGCTGGACTGGAGCCAGCTCATCTACCACCCAGACAGTTCCTGCATGAGGATGCCTCTGTCTAACAGGCAGGAGTGGGCGGCACAGCGTACAGGGGGCCAGCACAGCATGAGCTGGAAGCCCTGGTTCCTGTATCGCAGCAGGAGAATCTGTGAATGAGGAAGGGAGAAGACAACACAGGGAAGCAGAGAAGAAAGAGATGTTTAAAGAGCCTCTGCTCATCAGCGTCACCCTCTTTTATCCCTTTCTTCTTCCTATGTGCTTGAACTATGAAACAGAAGCAAAACTGATCCAGATTATAATTGACAATGTCCTAACCTACCTAAATTAAACATATATGCTCTGGGAACATCCTGAAATCATACAGGGTAACCCACGCTAACTTCTTCATAGCTGTGCCGTCACGGGTTTCAGGTACCAAGTACTCATCCAGGGTGTGGGTGGGTTTGGGCAACCCTCACCACGCTCTGTGCTGCTACAGGTACTCCGCTATCGAAACGCAAGCAAAGTAGTTTAAGGCTGGCTGTGACAGTCCTATGCAAGCAGAAAGCACACGTCTGGATTCCAGCAAGTGTTAACATTCAAGTAACTGAGGCAGGTGGCTGATATTCTGAGAGCAGGTCCTAACGGGCTTCTGGGTGGGGGTCTGACATTGCCATAAGGCAAAACAAATCTAAAGAATTAATGGGCAGGAAAGAAAATTGCCAAGGTTCTTCTCTGGCTGGAAGGTAGTATCCTAGGAATGGTATAGAACCACAAACTTATCCATCAAGAGCAGTAGATGGACTTTGTTGAAGGAAAGATTTTATTTTTGGTTGTTTTGCCTTTATTCCAGCTCCATCTATACCAGATATTGCCAGGTACTTCAAAGGAAAAGGCGTTTCCTTGATTCCCAAGAACATCTAAGCTAATGCTTTTACTATGCCTTGCAGATAAACATAACTGGCACAAAAACACTTTACCGGGATTCACTTGGAATAAATATGTATAGTTCCTGGATTAAAAAAGAAAAGTAATTGCACGGGGAAAGGCAATTATTTCTTCACTTCTGAATTCTTTATAACAGTCTCATTTTCATTCCATCTACACTGTGTACCTGCTTGAGTCCTTCCCGCAACATCTCTGTGGTTGAACCGAGTGTGGTGACGTGCATTTGATGCTTCACTTCATTGACACTACTGTGTTACAATTACAATGGATGCTTTAAAACCACAAATACACTGAACTCTGTGGTTTCAATTAGTGCCTTTTCACATAATCCTTTGGAAAACCTGGCTACTGATACACACTAGCTTTTTGATTAATCAACAAATCAAAGTTCAGTCTCCAAGAACAGGCAGAAGTGAAACTATTACCTTAATCCCTTCAATCCTGAAGCCCAGGTTGGCACTAGAGCTGATGGTTTCCCTCCACTGCATGTATCGGGGTTTGGTGACAGCATGCTGGGCATTCTCTTCAGCTGTGGGAGCAAGAGGATCCACTTCAATCATTTTCTTGTACATGTCCTTACGCAGCTTTGGTTTCTCACGGGCCTTAGTCAACTCTTCCTCCAGGTACGTCCTGCAAAAACAACACATTCCAACAAAACTGTAAGGACTCCCCAAACATTTCTTTTTACAACTTATAAACTGGCCTCAAGAAATGTCAACCAGGAAAGTAAATGTTATCGTTACCTCAGTTTTCCACATGGGGAAACTAAAGAACATACACTAATGACTGGGCAGGCATATTTGGTGAAACAGACGCAGGAATCGGGAACTGTGTCACTCCTTGTTCTAACTATACCTTTACTCACTCTTACGTGTTATTGCTATGTCCTGCCTACAGAATGGGAGAAAGCTGAATTCCTACTGTGCCATGAAATAGAACTGTATTTTCAGAGGACAGTTAGGAGAGATCACTTACAACGAAATCAAAAGCAAATCAGGCTGCTGAAGTCTTACTGTCTTTGCTCTCCTCAAAAAAACCTAACATCAGTCATGTGTGATTTTTTTTTTTAGGCCTCAGAAAGCAATTAAGGTTTTACTTAATGCATCACAGTGAAAGACAGAATCACTCTTCATATAGTAAACATTAAAGAGTAAAGCAGATTATCTGAGCAGTTCCAAACCAGAAGAGGTAACTATGAACAGGAAGGTGAAGGGTGACAAACCTGCCACATTTTGCTGTTATCACTCAACCCGTTATTCTGGTGACCAGTAGAACGGCACTGACCATGTTCTCTACAGTGCACCAGACTCCTAAAGCTTGCACTTCATCAGGTGCCTGGAGTGTACTTTCTTCACCGCAGTGTAATAAACCAGCCTGGTGTTTAGGAGATGCTGTCACTCGTTACCAGAATGTCACCTACTTTGAATAAAATATGTGCTGCTGCAAATCCTTCTCCTCTTTCTTCTGAGCACATCAGTGCTACAGACTTCTACTCTGATTTAGCTGACAATTCATTTAGGATTTTGCATCTATTTGAAAAGGCTTATCTGCACTCCTGTAAGTCGAGTAACTCATTTACGACAACAACTCTTGAGCATCTGAGCTGGCACCCAAAATATTACTATGATGGTTCATGCCTCTCTGTACTGTTACTCCAGGCTCTCCACATAGTCTTTATCGATTTGTTATGCTTAGGTAACATTTTTGAGGTTTTCCTCTTAATCACAGACAAGAAACGGAAAAGAAAGCAAGAATCTGGAGAACAAGGCAATAGCATCATGAAGATGTCAGAGTAGGGAAAAACACAGGTCAGTCCTCAGCAGATGGTCCACTCTTTTCTGTAAAGAAAAGATCAATACCAGTGAAAACCCATCCAAGCATTGGAAATGGGCTTTCACACTGTGATTCAGTCATTCACATTTGGAGATGGGAGTTTTGCTCTTTGCGGAGTTTTTTGAATCACTGTGTACACAAAGATTAAATGAACTGGCAGTGAATGACTCATGTACTTTTTTTCCCCCACGTATTTTCAGGCCACTGCAGAGAAACTTTGTCTTAAATCGCCCCTGAAAATTTCTTGATGTGGATAGTTTTTGAGGCTATAGATCACTTAGTTTCCAGAATCCAGGTACGATCAGGCAACAGTGGGACATATTCTCCTCGGGTTGTCCAAGGCAACTGCCAAACCAACAACAGGTTGTCTGGACTGAATCCCAAGGCTCCAAAACTGTTACCAAACTCCTCCAGACAGACTGTGACCACATCCCCCCTGCCCCTCCTTCAAATGCATTTGAGTTAGAAAGCACTTTCTCTTTCATGTACCCCACCTGATCCCCATCTTGCAGTCCATCACACAAGGCCCTTCAAAATCAGTAAGCAGGTCATCCAGCTGAATGTAGCTCTCGCCATCTCTCTCCACCACACCATGGAAGCGAGGGACGCAGGAGCGTAGCGGGTCTTTCATCAATCGCTCAAAACATTCCTTTTCATTCTCTGAGAAGCGTTTGAGAATCTTCCCACTATCAGCTGCCTTGAAACTCCCTAAAAAAGAAAAATCAAACACATGCTGACAAGGCTGACCCGCAAAAGAGAAAACCACCTTCCCCCACCACTTCAGCTTCATCTACCTCAGCCTTATGACACCAGTTAAAGATTTCCCCTGAACAGAAAAGATAACATGCTTTTCATAAAAAAATAAAACAACCAGGACAAACACAGCCATTGGCAGTGAAAATCCGTTTGGACACATCCCATGTCAGAATCTATAGCTTTAAGGAGTGCAGTTGCTCCAGGCCATCAGTTTTTTTGGGTTTTTGTGGTTTTTTGGTTGTGTGTGTGTGTGTGTGTCCCCAGCTAAACTCTTTGTTAGGATATTAAACACTACCATACTTACTTACCATGCACAGGAAGAAGCCACAAGCCAGAATTCATTAATCCTCTGACAGGCTATTTTAAAGTTGCATACCACTGCCAGTGTTGGCTTTGTCCTTAATCCTCACGCAAGGTATACCTGCTGAGTGTGTACGTACCGAGGCAGCACGGTCAATCAGTGATCATCAAACAGCCACAAACAGGCCAGAAGCCAAGCACTGCCCTTTCTACACGCACAGGCTGCGACTGTGCACGCAGGTACCTCCAGGCACTGCCTCTTCCCTGGAGCCCTGCTGATCTGCAGGTACAGCCCGCAGGGCTCTTATTTTTTTGCAGCCCCGTGTCTGAATGGTATCCAGTACAAATGACAGCCTGCATAGGCCAAGATTGGCAGTAATTAGACTCCAGCTCTCTAGAGTCTCCTGTCCAAACGCTCTCCTGTCTTGCAACCTGCCAATAACATCCGAGGAAAGTATGCATTTCATTCAGAGGTACCCTTTAATCTGCACGACATAAAATAGGCACCAAAGTAGGGTCCTCATTAATCCTGGGGCTAACACTCAGCTTTTATCACAGCAGGATCCTTCAGCCACTGCAAACTGGTTCTTCTCTGACAAATCCTAGAACTGGCACTGCCTCAGCACAAGGGCGAGAGTGATGATGGCCTAGGTTTTAGTTTAGAAAGAACTTGTCATATCAGAGAAGAACAGCTGCAAAAAGGACGGACTAAACACAACCACAGAAAACTATTTAAAGCAAACTGGAGCAGTATCTCTCCTAATCAGGTTCTAGTAGCCTCTTAATCCTCCTCTTCCACCCCACTACACAAGCCTCCAGAAGGGCTATGATTATACAACCAGTGCATCACTCCACACCGATCAAGCCAACCCCATACACACTGTGATAAAAACTGCAATAAGACTGGGTCACCTTGGCACTCTGCGTGATACAAGTCAGCCCCACCACCACCACCGTGCAAAATGCAGCTACTCCATTTCTAGGACTAAATGAATTTCTCTGCACAGCTTTGAAGTGCAGTATATTAGTGCATTAGCATATAAAGAGGTGGTTCAGGTACTGCATTAAAGCACGATGCAGCGTAGGTGCCTGCCCACATGTGTACTAATAAACCCCGCACTAGCACTTTAGGAACAAGGGCTGCATAGGAATTGAACAAAGCACAAGAGAAGCAAACCTGATGACTTGTCTTTGTTGTTTTTCTTCCCTTATCAACGAAACAAAGCCTACCTCAGGAGTACACTTACCAACTTCTACAGACACAAAACTAGAACCAGCCAACTGAGCTGCTCCTTGCACTCACGCAGTGAACGATGACAGACTCGCAATGCAAACACCTGGTCAGCAAGTCAGTTTTCACCAGATTCATTTTCCACCCAAGGGCTTACATTCAGATGAGGGCTTTGGCGTCAGCATTAGAAACACTGTCCTTGCCAGGGCTGGAGCACATACAAGCACAGACAGCAATCCTTCCCACTAGGGAACTAACATATTGGTTACGCAGTCAAGAAAGATGATCCCATACCACAACCAACAGCATCAGATGGAGTAGGGCTCCAACTCCCCAGTCCCTCTTGTTTCCCTCTAACACGTATTTTACATATATCACCTTACAAGGATGCACTGGGAGCCTGGCCCTTCCCCAGAGTCTGACCATTGCTTCCTTGCTCATCTCGTCACTCAGGTGTATCACTCCCCCTTCCCCATCCCCACCACAATGGAAAGAAAGATGGTCTAGTTCACAGATTTATGTGATATTGCCTGCTTCCTTTTTACCTGAAGGAAGGAAAGAGAGAAACACTGAAACCCTGTTTTCCTTGCTGCTGCTATCCCCACTCCAGAGACAAACACATTGAAGATATCTGTCTCACCTGTATGCCCAGCCAGCTGCACCCATGAGTAGCGTTTCTTGAAAGGGCTGATGACTGGTAAGTTAACCATGGTTTTAATTGTATGCCATGCCTTTTTCTGGAATACAAAGAAAAGAAATATTAAGTTGGGCAAAAGCTGAAATCCTGACATGCCACAAACCTACCACGTAGCTTCATGCACATTAAATTGTTCCTCACTAGTTTATAAGTGCTCAAAGGTGGAACCACAAAACAGACACTACAATCATCATTGGAAAAATATGCACATAACACCAAGAACAAATACTTAAATATAGTGTCCCACCACCCATCCACGAGAAAGCTGCCTGCAAGAAATAAAAGTCATACTGCACATCTTAGGCACACCTGACCCTCTCTGTGTCTGAGTCACACAGTGTGCAGACAGCAGATGCTAAACACACACTTATACACGTTTAAGTTTCCATGAAATGTGAACATGAGCTGTTCGCCACTCTCAGCAACACTCCCTTTCCCAGAGAACTTCAGCATCACCTTGTGATTAACGGCTTTCTCCCAGTCAGCAGGTGAGTCTTACTGTGACAGATGCATAGAAAATGCATCTCTAGTTGGACACGGAAGTCACGCAAGTCCCTCAGCACCCGCAGACAGAGTGCTGTAGAGTCTATACCAGGTCAGAGATTTTCCTGCTCCCTCCCCTCTGTCCTAATCTTGTTACTTTTTAACAAAGCTGGGCATTGCTCTGGCCTGCACAGTGCAGCTGTCTGGGTACCGCTGCGGGCAGGCAGGGAAACGGAACAGCTGCTCACAAACAGCAGCTGAGTGCTCTGTCACAAAGGCAGAAAGGGAGAAAAAAAAGTGAAAAAAGTCTCATGCTCTGGAACTGAAACCCAGGTGGGAGAGAACCACAGCCCACCGGCCTTTACGTTACACTCTGAGGGATCCCAAAGTGCTTTACGAACAAGGGCAGCAGGCTCATTTCTTCTGTCACTAGAACCTGATACCCTGCTGGAGACAAAAATGGAGCTGCACAATACTTGTGCACGACAATTTAGTGCTGAGGCTTTTTTGCCGAGATCAAGCATAGTTGGGGATTAGGCTGCATTTACAGAAATGTTTATCAATAGCCTAACTGGGATTCACCAAAATTAATGGGAGGCATTGATTTCACTGAAAATGAGTTTAGGTCATTGCTCAACACCTGAAAAATCCACCTTCAAAACAACCAAGTCCTCTCTCGCAGGGATATCAATATGACAATTTAGGTGCTTAGGATACTGGATTTTTATTGTCTTCTACACTATATTTCTACAGAAGTGAAAAATACAAAAAGTGAAATTGCAGGCAATGATACACAGGCAGCATGTAGCTCTACAGATCACACTCTGCCCTGGCCACCCTTCCCTGAATTTGTTCACTTACTCCACGTTTCTTATAAGGTATCCTCTATCAACGCCAGTCACCGTGTGTGAGCAAAACCCTGCGGCTATCTTAGAATGTATCGAGAGGATATGCGAACTCACAGACACAAGTAATCTTTCTCTTAAGAATTTGTCTTCACAAGAAAGTTTTAAGTTATGCTGCAAATTAGACTGACATAACGATATAATCACCATATGAGCATACTTATTCTGAAATAAGGCTGCTTCCTCCTATTTAACTTACTTTGGTTTCAAATGTAGTTCAAGCTGAAATGAAGTCATGCTCGGTCTGATACAGGTGCCCCACACAGCAGTAACGCTTTCGAAAACACTGTGCCAGGGAGAGGAAGCATCCAAAGAAAATCTTGGATGTTTGAGAATCATGAAGACTAGGTTGCACTTACTGCAACTCCACAGATGTCACTAGCTCTAGCTAAACTCCAGTTTTATAAATACCTTCAGCAGGTTTAAATGACCCTTTCATATTCTATATTATCTGGATTTAGTATTCTATGTTACTTGCCTTAAGCATTCCAAACTGCAGCCTTGCAGTGTTGCACAGCTACTCGGCTCAATCACAGAGCTAGCTGCTGTTTAGTGAGGATGCGAGAGACTCTTGTACACCACTTATAAAAGTCCACAGCCTTCTTCTGGAGGAAAGTGCAATGTAAATATTGTTATTCAAATAGCAAAGATAAATTACTTTTGTATAGTCTATTTGCCAGATTTAACTGATAGCAGAAGCCCTTCAGTATACTCTGCTGTTTCTACTCCACAGGGACACAGCCCTAAGTTATTTAAAAAACAGTTGAAAGTAAACATCATTCTGAATTAAAACGACCCCTTTGAATACAACTTCTGCCAAAGCTTTAGTTTTTGAAGATTCCAGCCCAGTTTTCAGGGTAACACTGCTTTATATACAGCTCCAATACTCATCATAATGTCTCACTCCTAACAAACTGCACCCTGTCTCCCAGTGACTTGTCATACTGCCATACCCAGAAGTGATGAGGAGCACAGGTTTTCAAGGAATGCACATCACTGTCAATGCAACCCCACGCTCCAGCGGTGTGCCCACCTCCTCCCTCCCACCTAGCCCTAAGAGATGCTTCAGCTTTTATTTGTACTGTGGGTGTGAAGGAGCAACAGTGGGCCAAATTCAGCCCCAGCTGAAATGGACTTTGGCTGCTTAGGTTACAGCTCCCTCGGATAAGTATGTTTAAGATACTCATCCAATAAGGAGACACTGACAATTTTTCATTTTATTTTTAATTTTAAATAATCTCTTCACAAACTCTTGCCCCCCTCCAAGGCAGGGAAAGCATGAGGCTCATGCTAGGAGGGAAAGGATCGCTTCCAGACCCATCCCACGAGGCGTACCACCAT